ATCTGGAAGAAAACATCATTTGAAATCTGATAAACATCTGACTAAAAGTTGCATTTAAGAAATTATATTTAAGTTTATATAATTTTATACACCTGAAAATGGTTTTTTTAGAACTGAAACATGTCGTGTAAAAAGTGATGTTCTAATGTAAATCGAACATTTCGATAGAGAACATCATTTAATATATTTTAAATATTTAAATGTTAATTATGGTAATATTTTAATATTTAATAGGAATTTTATTGTGATTAGACTGACAAGATTTAAACAAATATATATTTATCACAATATGACGCAACTTTATCATCTCATAAGAAGAAAGTTAATTCGCTAGGGTGATTTGTCAATAGTTTCGATTATATTAGCAAAAATTTCATTTCAAAATTGATTTTCCAAACGTTTATTTATTTTAATCCGTCTTATCACAATATTTAATATTGACCCACACCTATACGAAGACAGTAGTACTTCTAGACATATCGGAACAATCACTCCTACATCCATGACCGATATGTACATCTGATAAAACTTAAGAAAAGACAACACCTCGCCCAAAATTGAAAAACAAATGGCATGAAACATCACCAAAATGGAATCATATTTGAGTTTTACGTTGTATGTCTAGCTATAACTGTTCATTATTTGTCGCTGTCAACGAGAAATATATTTCGCGCAATCATCCGTCACTAGAGCAATATCGAAGCTTTTAGTTATTTTACAATTTACTTTTGGAATAGCTGGTGGAACGTCGTAACTCTCTTTGAAATCAGTCCTGCGTGGTACATCCCCGGATCACGTTTGCGGCTTGGATTGAGCCCGTATTTCTGTGTGTCGCATGAGATGAGTAATGGCGCGTCGCACACTGAACACATTCCCCTGACGATTGAAATGAATGTGTACCAACCGCATCGAACTCCTTCGCCTGGTTCAGTCTTCAACAAAATGGCAAGAGCAGACGACATATCGCAGTAGGAAGAAGTAAGCGATGGCGGTACATTTAACACGAAAAAGAACAGAACAAAAGAATAAATGTTTAAGAAAGACGCTACGAAAGATAAGATACAAGGAAGGGTTAGGGAAATGAGATTAAAAGTAAAATTCTACCACTTCACTTATGGATATAAGTCCATCTGCCCTCCTGACATTATTGCAGGGATTGCCGACCGAATGTGCTTTAGAGCGTTTACATTTGTAGTAAGTTGGGTAATTTTAACATTAACTAACAAACTTAAAATTATCACACACAGCTACAGTTTTACAGATGTGTTTTGTGTTGTACCGAGGAACAAGTTTTTCTTCCCCTGATTAACAAATCTCACCAATCCAGAAGAGAATGAACAGAAATACGTATAATATACCAGGGAGATGTCACCATCCATACTACAAGGCAGTATTACTTTTTACGATACGCCATCATCAGTTAACTCGTCCCTTACAGGTGCACTTCAACTATTCCAAAGAGCTGGTACACATCGTTACGTACCATAACGTAACAAGACTCATTTTCAGCAGCGGCAATAGTAACCAGTAAGCTGAAGCATGATTGGGAGAAAACTTAAATTGGTGTTTGTAATAAACTAATAACGTGCGCATTAGGGAGATTCTATCAAATTACGTCTACTTTTAATGTTTGTCACGCAAACAGGGCAGAATATTTAAGTCTTTGTTTGTAAAAGTGTTAAGAGATAACTCTTGTGAATTTGACAATGATCAGTTGAAGCATGTCTCGAGAATAGTAAGGTAGGAAATGCTGAAAACTGGTGGTTTTAAAACCTTCTTGACATGAGGTTGGACCATCTCAAGGTCTGTGCCCCTACACAGATGGCGGGTCTACCTCAAGAAGAAAACACAACACTCCTCCATTACAAAGACTAGTTGGTCGATGCAGTTTAAGAAAATAATCACTGATTACTTAAGAACCATATGAAATATATACACATGCTCCAGTTAAATTCTGAGTTACTGATTATTGAAGCAGGTGGTATGAAAATGTACTGCTAGACTTTAATGGGTTAATTTATAAAAATTCCATAATTTCATTTTGACAAAAATGAAGGGAAATTTTTATAAAACTGTGACTAGACGAACAATTCGGTATTTTAAGACATGTGAAACTAACACGCATTCTGTCCTGTCCTATGTTACATTATGCTTAGTTTGTTGTGTATCAAAGAGACGAAGACAGTGGATGATACAACTGTTACTATGGCAACATCTAGCCCGGACATGTGCTGTTACAGGGTCGAGCTGCAGTACATAAGATTTATGATGACTGTCTAGCACATCTCGAGACGATTTTCTCTTTCCAGTGTCCGTGCACGGAACATCGTTTCGCTTCTAAATTCTTTTTCTATAAATCCCATTCCTAAACTAGCTCTTACATCTCACATCATAACACAGTCACCTCGTATTTAAAAGTAGGCTATCGGGTGCCAAATCCTGAAACTCGGCTATAATTTCGTGTTATTTCAAATAGCACATCTAAGAAAATTTTGGCTCACAGTCTCATTTTTTTTAATTGAATTCCGAAACAACGAATCGTGACAAGTTTCATAATTTCCTTCGGATACATGACGAATCTTAGTTTATAACAGGTTTCGGACAACTAACCAACAATCTTAATTATTTTCAAACATTTTTATAGTAGACTCAACGGGAATAAGCTTTGGTACTATTTTAACCGTTATAAATTCGATATATTCTCATGATAGGATTGGACAAGCTGCCAGACATCGCCTATTAGAATTAATGTCATATCTCCCCGAGCTTACCATCAAAGACATCCACTCACTCGAAGGCGTCACCCGACACAAGAAGAATGAATACAACTTGCACTAAAATTAAAGGTAACTGTAGATTTTGACGTCGATTTGTCCATGTCCTCATAAGCATTAAAACATTTTAGTCAAACTTACAATTCGAATTCAGTCCGATACTGTTTTGGATATGATTATTAGAATACCAAGAATAGCAGTTCTCCAAAAATAATACCAACAAATACGATTTTTAACACCACTAACCCCTTTTAAAAATTGTAAAAAAAAAAGAGAGAAGACGATACAATTTATAACACTGTTATATCAACCTCAACCGCCCCACAGAAGAACACAAATACTGCAAATGCATGTTCGCAAATCATTCTGTTGCTTTGGGCCTTCCCGTTTCCGTTTTAACGATTAGTCGTTCGAAAATGTAAGTGAGAAACTGTTAAAGGGCACGGGATTATCTGACCCCGGGGCAGACTTCCCCCTGAACACGAAAAGTTGCATGCCAACACTAAATGTGACCCCCTTCCCCTCTCTGTCGATAGCGCTCAACTATAGCCTGAAATACACCGGCATCCTTTTGGAATATCAGCAAAATGCAATTTAAAGAACAACTTATTAAAACTTTTAGGACTTTAAAGGAAATATAAAAAACATAAACATGTCTCCCTGCCTAATATAAAACATGAATGGAAGCTTCAAACAATACGAGGTGCGATCGGAAAGTTTCTAGACTGTGTCAATAAAGGGCGAACCGGATGTAGTACGAGCTTCTGCCGCTAGGGGGTGCGGCCTACATTCATAGTGAATCAGTGTGCCAGCCGGCATCATCGAATTAGCATTTGTTTCTTAGTTACGGGCGTTTTGGTAGTGCATTACACCGACCCTCCTGCGATTTCGGAATGGCGTGTGCATCAAATTTTGCCAAAGACTCGCCAAAACGGCTACGGAAACCTATGAAATGCTAAAGCAAGCATTTGGGGAGTCCGCAATGGGTCGTGCACAAACTTTTGTGTGGCATTCACGTTTTAAACATGGCCGAACCTCTGTCGATGATGACGAGCGTTCTGGACGACCATCTTCGAGCACAACGCCCGAAAATGTTACGAAGATTCGGCAGGCCATTCACGAAGATCGACGTCGTACCATCAACGACTTGTGCGACATTGTTGGGATAGGCTATGGGACTTGTCAGCTGCTTCTGTAGGAAGAACTCCACATGCGACGCATCATGACAACGCACCAGCGCACACCGCCTTCAAAGTTCGGCAGTTTTTGGCCTCAGACACCATGGCCGTCATCCCACACCATCCTTATTCGTCGTGTGACTTCTTCCTCTTCCCAAAGATGAAAATTCAGCTAAAGAGAAGGAGATTTTAGACGATAGAAGAGATTCAGGCAGAATCGCAGATGGTGCTTGACAGGCTGACAAAGAAAGATTTCCAGGGATGCTTCCAGGCTTGGCAGCGGCGCTGGGATCGTTGTGTTCACTCCCAGGGGAACTACTTCGAGGGGGATGGATGAATTTAATACCTGAGATAAGTGTACGGGTTTTTATAGGCGCAGTCTTCGAAACTTTCCGATCGCACCTCGTATGACAGAGATTCTTACTATTTGAACATATCTACTTGTAGTTTTGTGAATTTCTTAATGCATCACGAATTTAGAAGGGATAGAAAAGTTGGATGACTGAAAAAACATAAGAATATAAAGGACAAATGGGAGATTTAAATATGGATTTGTAGCATGCTGTATCAAATGAAGCTAGTGCTTAGCACAAACCAAACCAGCTGACCTGCTTACTGCAAAACAGAAATGGAGTAAAGACTTAAAATTATGTCTTCTTCTTTATTACGCCGTCTCCTTTACATATGGCGACATATTATGAACAGGATCCTTCCATCCTTTTCTCGGACTGAGATCTGTTCATATGTTTTTTTGGCAGGTAATACAGAAGTGTTTTGCCATTGCCTTCTTCATGGAGTTGGGATGCCACAGAGAAACTGGGGTAGCCCCAGAGGAAAACTCTGTGTTGCCTAGTCCACGGCCTTGCTCAACACAAGTTATAAACTTGGGCACCACCGGGAATCGAACACGGGAGCCCAGGATTAAAAAAGGCCAGCGTTCTAATCGCTAGACCACTGCGGCGAGCCTTAAAATTATGTACACCCTAATAAATGAAGAGAAAAGAATCAATGACAGCAGGTTTTGTGATGTATAATGAAAACGCTCGTCCACTGTGTAAAACTATTGTTTACTTTTAAGGTGCACTGCATAATTATATATTATAATGATTTTATAATTTATACAATTTATACAACAAGTTTCTCTTCTTACTTACAAAACAATTATTAGGATAGGAGGTGAAGAGTACAAATAAGGGACAGGCGAGGAATGACACGACACCAACACAAATAATACAATCATATCCATGATTCACAATGCCATTAACTTTGGTTTCAGAGTCTAATTTACAAAAACAATGCAATCGCTTTGTTGATAAATGGTTATCTTCAGTTAAATACGTCAGTCCAGGGACATATTAAGCTTGCAGGCCTTTACTTCCATGGCTCAAAACTTACAACCATTCAATTACATACTGTAATAAAAACTTTCAAGTGCGCCATTTATATGTTGTTAGTCCTTGGTCGGAATTTGGGGCTTCAAGTGGCATTTATTCTTAGCCGGGTCATCCAAATGGCCGCTATGGACAAGTCATAAAGAATATTTCAACACTGTCCAGTGAGTTTACGCCGACAAAATCACGCAGTTGACCATTCATTTCCCCAAAAGAACACTAGATTTAAGACAGCGGAGCTTCAACTTTCCCCGCATCATGTGTTTGGCCTCAATAGACAAGATGGTGGAAAAGTAAACTTTTCCTTGCTTTCATCAAGTGGTTATTATGTTTTATAAATGCACTGGTAGTGAGTCAGTGCTCACCTCCTTCCTCCATCTGACTGTTGTGGTTCTGCGCACTAGCGATTTCAAGCCAGTGCTGCTTGTTCTGACGCACCCCCTCCACGAGGGGTTCCAGTTTATCCGACAATACTGCAAATGACTGAGGAATAAAGATTATAAATAATAAATGCATAAACTCAGAAAATACAAACCGAATAGTAAAGAAAGGACAGAGTACTTACCAGCGTAAGAATCCAGACACTCTGGTGAGACAGAATATTTTTTTTTTAAGTTTTTCATCTGTACTATGAATATTTTCAATGAGAATCATGATCAAATGCATATCTCAAATAGACCGTCTTCTGAGATGTTGCACCACACAGCCTGGTATAAGTTTACCATCATTTTAGGCGTGCTTGCTACATCCATCTCCAGAGTGATTACCCCAATGATGGAAGCAGCAAGAACCTCTGAAATGTCAGTGAACTTCTACCAGACTACATAGTACAAGATCTGAGAAGACCAACATCTTCATACCAGCCACTACAAGAACCTGGAATCTGACAAATGCACATCTGATTATTGAGGAAATTCACCGTGTGAACAAAATATGATTTTCCTGTTTTCTGTCATCACTGCATCTGGATTATTGCTCTGATAAGTCTCCTTTCTGTCCTCTCATATCTTAATATCCTATTAGAGCTGCAACTCTGAAATCACATTGAATGACAAGTCCCATAAGAACAAATGAAAATAAAACAACTTTCTACATTACAACCCTTTACTGTCACAGGGTAAGTCTCTTAGGCTGGAGATTCAAACCCCAGCGTATGCAGTATAACAAAGGGCAAGCATAGACACATGCGCGTGTGTCGTAAGCAGTAATTGCATCCACGACCTGAGTGTTTGTATTGTCCAAGACTTCACTTTCCATGACTGCTAAGAAATATATATCCTGCATAAACTGACAGTTAATACTTACCACAGTACGCATGGTCATTATATTTAGAAAGATACCAAGTCCTTTCTTTTATTAGATTGCCCGTTCTTTAATTACGTCATACAATTCATTATTCGAGAAATATAAATGAAGATAAGTACCTCATAAATTGGGAGACAGATTGAGTCAATGAATCCAACTTGCATAAGGGGAAGTTGGTCTTCTTTTTCTCTGTTCATGATGTCCTGCAAAAAGAAATATTATTAATAAAAATTTAATTTCACCATAATTATATTATTTTTAAACAGAAAGCACATACTATCTAACAAAACTATAATAGAACTATTCATGGAGAAACACCAGCTTGATTAATATACATGGTGTGATGCTGAAGTACTTCTGGTCCTCAAGTTTACAATAAAGAGAGCTGAATTCAATACTTTTCTGACATCACACAACATTTCTTAATGAACATTAATCATCAGGCACAATAAAATAACAAATTTTATAATATAAGTACAGGATCTGAATGCAAATATTTGTAACAGACACTAAACAAAAATTATCTTAATGTTTTAATAATATCAGACTTTATTCAACTTTTGAGGCTTGAAACGTGTTCTCACACACTGTCATGATCTATAACAGGTTTATTTTAAATTCAAATAGTAACTTAACTTACAATTGGTGTAATCTTCAACTCCTGACGTTCAATGTCCCCTTGCTCAAAGAATTCACTTGACACTAGCTCAGCCACCTAGAAATGTAAACGCACATGATACAATATGAATATCAACTTATTAGTCACCTTGTTGGTGCTCAGAATCCATGGAAGTATTTTACAATTTACTTACTTGTTATACTATCAGAGCCAAGATCAATTAGATTAACAGCAAAAACAATGCATAAATTATCATCAGAACAATCCTTCAGATCCAAAATGTCCAAGACATCGTAAAGCTACACACAACTGCCTCCTACTGGCGGAAGCAAGAAACTGTGTCAGTGCCGGCAGGAAATGTATTATTTTTATTCCTTAACAATTAAAATGAAGAAATTCAAAAGAAGACCCACATAAAGTCAAAAGTTATAAAGAATAAGAAGCAGAATTTCAATCAAATTTAAACATCAACAATTCAATGACATTTGTTTTATAAATTGTATCTTTGAAGGATGGCACTAAGAAGTTAACTGACCTCATCTGCGGTTATCCAAAAAACTTCATATCTGTCGTAGTTATTTACTTACCCTCTTCTCAACTTCCCAGGGTTTTGTAATGGCTGCAAGGTCACACACTGTCATGGTCATTCCTCTCAAGAGCTCACGGTGGTCATCACGCATCCAATTGTAGCTGGCAGTTCGCACTAGATTGAAGAAGGCACCTCGCTTCCTTGGAGACAAGCAGATAACACCATCAAATATAACAAATCACCTCCAGAAATATAGATTGTAATTTCACCAGTTGGATACAGCAGAAAAGTAATTTACATCTGTGGATGTGTAGGCTTTTACAGGAATTTTTAGTTTGATGTCCTACATAAGTTGTCGAAGGTTCAATAATTTTAATCATGTGAATTACACTTATTAGTATCACGAAGTACGGTTTGAGAGCCGATCAATTTTTGACATTTATTATCAGTATGATGTAATACTGTACCTAAAGTACACGGCCAGATCTGTTGAGAGGATTGCATCTTCCAATACTTTTATTATTCTTGAATATTCATCTGGTGAGACATTGGCAAGGATTTGATTGCCCTGAAAATAATTAACAATTTGACACATATAAAAACAGTATTTATTTCAGAGCAAAGAAATAAAATCACCTTTAACCTATTCTTTCCCTGAGTACAAAGTATTTCTATTTTCTAATTAGTTCAATATCAAAGACCTGTATGAGCCATAACAGAGGTCAATTATGGTTATGACACCCCGCCGACCCACAGCTCAAGTAAAACACTGTCTTAGTACCTGACTGTTGAGAATCATGATGCACTGGTCAAAATGGTGGTGCTCCATTGTAGAAGTGGAGTAGAGCTGAGCAAGTGGAGAAGAAGCCCTGAAAGTAACATGATTGACAGAATGCTAATTTATGTTGTAGTGCTCTCCACACAGCTCAGTATAATGACAACCAGTCACCTGAATACGAGAATAGAGCCAACTCCCAAAACTTTGTGTATATCAAACATACCACAATGGACAATGCCCAACACAGTGTTCCTATAAACGGTACACAATCTGCAATATTACTGACAAGTAGACACATATACATTCATAAAAAAGTAGTGCAAGTCTGCTGAAGTAGGTTATCAGAAGTCTACCCTCAATAAATATTTTTTCTCATACAAACAATTTTTCTTGTACAGATAAAAAAAGAGTAACAGCTGATGGATCCTTTCTATTGTTTAAGAAAATGTATTTTTATGAAGGAAGCAACCAACTACATGGTACACTGTCTTCATTAAGCAACTTACTTAGCTATTAAATAAATTCCCTGTTTGTATGGAGCTAAAAAAATTGTTAATGTCACAACCTCCACATCAAAGAACTGTCAATTATCAAGCTCTTAAACAACAAAAAAAAACACTCCTTAAGGAAGCAAAATTGTTGTTCTTATTAAGTTTTTGGATTTGTGTTTCAATAATTTTGGCTATAGAAGGTAACTATTGCTCTAGATATTATTCTCTATATTGTTTTCATTTCTAGGCATACCAGGCAAAAATAAACATTATTCAGATACAAGATGAAGGACAATCGGTGTATAAGTTTGTTCCCTTTTATGTCAAAATTCCTTATACCACATTTAACAATTTACATAACTGGAGGGAACTAGTATACAGAACTCACTTTATCTGGAAGGAGTTGTTAGTTCCACGATGATCCAGATCATGACAAAGGCATGCAATCACTAAAGCCAAGCATTCGATCTCACCAAATATTTTCCACCACTGAGTAGCCTGAAAAAAAAATCATTAATCAAAACTTTATACCGACTTACTGTTGTAGAATACTGTCAATATTAACCTTTATTGTATGCGAAAAGGTGGCAGCTGGACTTAAGATTCTGGGGCTTAAACATTTAGCAGCATACTACTGCATAGCTGAGCCACCCATCACATTAGTCCCTGATAACTGAGTCAGATATGGCCTCAAAATCTTTAAAAATTCACTCCATACTCCACAGCTGATAGGCCAAACACTATACGATTCAATCATCATGAACCTTCAAATATAAACATGTCACTCCCTTATACTTACTGTGATGATCGAAAACATCATCTGGGCCACATTAAAGGCATGCCTCCAATTGTGGTACGTTACATTGCGGTAGTTCTTCTTCACACTCAGAAGCCACCTGCACAGGACTTCATAGTCAATATGAAATCTCTCTATGAAATCAAGATCTAGGAACATTCGTATGCAAGCCTGCAATCAAAACGAGTGTCACCCAATGCAGCTTCAGCATCTTACATATTTTCTGTGCCGTTTAAATTCACACTATCCGAAGAGTAATGCTTTATTAATTTATGCACTTGCAAATATCATCTGCAGAAAATATTATAATTAAATATGATGTAATGTACATAAGATTTTAAATATATTTTAACTATTTTGATTTTTTTTTAAATTTGGCACATCACCTGCCATCATAAAAATTTGTTTACCTTCAAAGTATCAACGTCATCCATGTGGATGTCATCAAACTTGAAATCATACAGCTGAAAATGCTGAGATGATGAAACTCTGAGGCTCTGAAAAAGGCAAGACAGCAAGTCAGTAGATTCTTACCTTTACGCAAAGAAAGTGAGGTTAGATTTTACACTGTTTATGACTAACTATAAAACAAATTAAATTACTTCACTAATCACCACTCCCCTCTAATGTGAAAAATATGTTCATTGAGAAATAAATGTGGTAGGGGGTGTATTAATATTTTAAGTTCAAATCATTTCCAAATGTGTTCTTTGTAATTTTATATATCTCATGGGCCCTGAGGTTAAGTTATTTCTGATTCAAATATATAGTGAGAAATTTAACATTTAATTCTTCATCATATTGTTAACATTCATCGCAGGAGAATAAGAAATTTACATCTCTGTACTTCAAGGCCATCAACCAGACCAGAAATGTCAATAATGCCATATCTCAAGATTGTTTCACATACACATTGATTTCAATTTCCTGATTCATACACAGCTAACAATTATGATTCCCATAACTTAACTGCGTCAATACCCTGAGCAGAACTTACCCTCAGTCTTTGAGCGTCGTCCAATGAAGCAGAGGCATGGTAACTTAAGACCTCTAACGTCACACTTTGTTTTGCCATTGCTATCACAGCCTTCTCATACCTGTGAAAGGTATAGGATATACCAGAATTATGGCTTAGAAAGAATACAGTAACCCACATGTGAAGAAAATCTTGTTCAGAACAATGCCATTTGAGGGTAGTGGTTTCAGTGTTCGATCATCATAATCTCATTTTTCTGCAGCCAAATAATGTTGATTCTTGTTAGTAACCTACTGTTTACAGGAAGGCACTAAGTTTATTAGTAAACTTTCACATGCAGATATAGAATCTTAGGGTGAACATGTGGATGATATATACCATAAAAAATTAAATTCAAAACAGATTTTCAAATTTATTTATGTAGCCCAGGCACTTTGTACTCAAAAAAAATTACATATCACAGAGTTAAAGAGGAAGTAAATATCCACAAGACTTGTGTCCAATGCCAGATGATGAAATTCCATACTAAGAAAGCAACGGTTATGTGCACCATCCTTCTTAAAACCAGTGAACAGACCTCGACAGCTATGGTACGTCTACCAATTTGGACTGCTTTCACAGCTGTGAAATTTCACCAGATAAAGTCAAAATGGTTCTCTTATTAGACAGTTATAATCTACTACATATAATGTGCAATCAATAAAGATTTTGTATGTGCAAATGAATGCTTTTTATTACTGAATTTCAATTTATCTCATTACTCACTTTAAGGCTATGACCCAAAGACATAATGATTACATTTTAAAATGTCAACTCACAGATGATGAATACTCACATATGTGTGTTATGGATTCCCATTCCACAGAAAATTGCAAATGCCTCAACAAAGTTTTCGTCATTTTTTGTAAATTGTAAGTCATCAAATTTGTTGATGAGCTGAAAGAAATGCAATATATTTAATACCAATATCAATCAGAATACTTCTAACCCTGAGGTTATTTGAAAGTCGGACTTAAACCACTGTGATATGAAAGCTCTTACTTGTATGACACCAATGATTTGCCCTGAGGAGTTCTTAATTGCCATGCACAGGATCGTCTTATGGCGGAAGCATGAACCTTCATCAACTGAAGGGTCAAACCTCTCATCTTCATAAGCATTTGGAATATTTACCGTCTGAAACAAAATACATTCATTATATACATTTATACAACCTTGTAACTCCAGATTTTAATGAGAATATGAAATCCACATTTAAAGGATTTACACAGGTGCTTCAATACAATTTTACCAATTTACCCAAAATCACCAGCTTACATAAAAATTGAAGTAATGTAAAATACTATTTCCATTATGCTGTACAGCAAATGTTGCATAAATTTAGTTTCCAAATCCACATTTAATATTGTGAATGCATGGAAAATGGCAAAAGACAATGAAAACTGTAATGGGAAAATTGCAATGATTACACGTCACAAAAACAATACTACAAAACTCACATGCATCAAGTTTTGAGGGCTTTATAATAATAGAATTACTACTAAATATATGGTTTTTCCAAAGGCCCTCATAATATGAGCCCATAGCTGCATCTTATTTAGCAAAAATAACATTCAGTTTTTGATATTAATGCAGTCCCACAACAATTCTGACTGAGAAATGTTGTCCAAGTCAAGAAACAAGCTTACTGTGTACATACAGGCCGCTACCTGCCTAATGCAGACAGTACTTGGAAATTGTTCTGCACCTGCGTCCATTTTGCACACAAGAAATTATGGGGCCCAGAGCAATAAATTAAATCTATGATTTGTATGAGGAGAAATAAGTTGAAAAAATCACATCAGATGGTAAGAGCTCACTGATACTGACTTCAATATTTCACATGTCTAGCAGGGTTCACAACACACAAGTTAGCTGAAAATAAAAGGTCACCTTCCACGCTTTGAAAATAACTTTCAGAAGTAGCATATTACAACTTCCCAACTGAAAGGGTTAATTAATCTACATTTAATGACATATAAATAAAGACATGCAGTAATTTTGGTATCTTAATATTTAGTATTATGTGTACTTCAGTACCCTGAGGACGATGATGAAGATGGTTCTTGGTACGTTGGTATTTTCTCCATTAAACCATCTGACATGGCTGGTAGCCCAAGAAGAATTCATTATATTATGTGTACAACATAAATAAATATAACTTTCCAGCTCATATGTAATACTAACTAAAACTGAACATAAATAGCCTTCAGTTTGTAAGCTTATTCCTCTGCAACTAAACAGGACTTGCCTCAACTCTGACCTCAGTGAACCAGAGAAATAGATTATAATTGCTAGATTGGTTAACATGAAACATGCATGACTGGTCAACACATTAACGACACTGGTAGTGGCAGATAGCAGGATGTAACAGGGGGACAAAAGGACAGGAAGCATGCTGTGGCCCTTTATAATGATAAGATATCAACATAATCCTATATCCCTTCATGATATGTAGTTTCTACTAATACAGGCCAAAATGCATTCGTCAGTGCAATCTGACAATCAATAAGAATACACTTTCTAAAACATTATTATAAACCATCTTTATATGGCGGTTTCACTTTATGTCTTGTCTCTTCAGACTCTTTTTCTTCTTCCTTTACTAGTTGTATTTTTAGCCTTATACATCACGAATTGGCCTTTCCATCTCTTTCTGCGACAACATTTACTTTTTCTACCACTGGATTCATAGCGCAGTGCTAATTTCGGTAACCCACCTCTCCATTCTCTCTATTTGATCTCCCTCCATCCATTTTCTTCAAAATAATATATGCCTTTCATTACATTTTGCAATCTTTCCCCTATCTGTTTTCCTTTGGTTATACGATTTTGTAAAAGCCAGTGGTGGTCTTCAGAATTTCATTTGTGATATGCCGACTGGCTTCACACTTGACTTACTTTCAATGTTTATCCAAATTATGATGAACAAAGGCCATGTCATAGTTCATGCAGAGTCACCAACTTCTCACTGCAGAGGGGCCAGGTTCAAGCCTAGGGCAGTCCATGTAGGATTTGTGGTGGGCAAAGTGACACTGGGACAGGCTTTTCTCTGAGTTCTTTGGTTTTCACCTGACAGTATCATTCCACTGCTGCTCCACAATCACTCATACATCATCTGAGGTATGGGCAATGGGCCCATTAGCAGCCACAGTTCCTTAAAGACACAGTTTCCCCCTATGCAATAATAATATTAATAACAACAACAATATCCCCATAAACCAAGAAAAAGGACCAAAGCTGAATTCTGGTTGGGTTCAACAGCTATTCTGGACATGGAGGAGAAAAAAAGAATTGCAGCATCTCTGCAGGAATTAGATTCTGAGTGTCTTGTTTTATATAAACTGAAATTCACTACCAAGCTGCCTTATTTCTTCCATGCTGATAGGGCACAAAGTAACAAAGCCACTCACTACATGCAGCAGGAGTCAAGCCCACTCCCCTACATACCTCACCTGTGGTGGCTACATAACCCGTAATACCGATGTTGATGGGGAATCGACTCTCGAATGGGCTGCAACAAGAACAAACACGAGAAATGTTTAAATATTATAAACAAATCGAAGACAAGCGTAAAAATAGAGTAAGCTATCACCAACATAAACAGCAAGTCAATATACAGAACAATGAAGAGCGAAGGGAAAAAGAACAAATTATTCTTTCATATTTCAAACTTCTCCATTTTACGAACAAGAAAGAATAATACATTATTTTAATAAATATTATACTACTAAGAGCTATTTAATTTTCAAGTAAATTTCATTTAGACGGGTGCGGTAGCACAAATGGAAGAAATTAAAGTGCATATAACATTTTAGCCGGAAAACCTGATGGGAAGAGGCTTCTTGAGGACCGTCGACATTTACAGTACAATAATACGGAAATGAACAATAACGTCCAACATATGGAATAAGGGATTTAAATTCTGCTGGCCATTAACTTTGGGGTTATGGGTTTAGTAGTACACTCTCTGATACGGGGACCAACTGGAATGCTTGTGAAATGTAACATATGATCAAAAAAGTTAATGAAAGATGGTCTGAGAATGTTAAATAAATACATCTAGCTCAGTGCATTCTAACATTCTAAATAAAGTACTATTAACGTGAGTACCAGTGCTGGTTTGTTACAAAGCTATTTTATTTTATTGTAGGCAACGCAGAAGCCTTGTTGTAGTGGGACGAAACTATGTCTCTATGGACTTGCAGCTGCTGAAGATGCACACTATCTGCCCCCCAGATGATACATTAATAAATATGGAGCAGCAGCAGAATTATATTGACATGGGAGAACGTGGAGAAAAACCTGTCCAAGTGCCACTCTGTAATACTTAAGATCTACTTAGGAAATCAGTAGGTTTGCATATTAATGAAGTTCATCTGTAAATCAACATGTTAGCATCATGAAGTTTCCAACTAACTTGTCAACTTTGTTAAATTAAATGTTTATGTTACTTTAAAACTATCAGAATGTATCTAAGAGCAGCAGACATCATTTACCCAGCACGTTTTGGTCTTTCTTAGTTTATGCAGCAGGATATTTTGTAACAATAACATGTATGAAGATTTCTGTCTTCTGGGTTGTTGCGCTGTGTAGTCTGGTCGATGCTAACCAACGTTTCAAAGGTTATACTGCCTCCGTCATCAGGGCGATTCTTAGTATGAAGATTTCTGGCTTCTGGGTTGTTGCGCTGTGTAGTATTCTCACCGCTGTGAAAACCTCAGATCTTACACAATAACATGTACGCATAAAGTGAAGCTTTTGTGGCGACCGAAGTTGATGAAAGACTCTCAGGTTACAAGCCATGTCAAGTGGCTGAATGGTGCATAAACCATATCTTCTGCCAACGTTTCAAGAACAATCTCTGCTCTCAGAGGAAGAGAAGTTCCCATTGGCGAGCACGCTACAAGGGATCAGATTTGTTATGCAGCAGCCCTGATAACATGTACGCATAAAGTGAAGCTTTTGTGGCGATCAAAGTTGATGAAAGACTCTCGGGTTACAAGCCATGTCACGTGGCTGAATGGTGAATAAACCATATCTTCTGCCAACGTTTCGAGAACAATCTCTGCTCTCAGGGGAAGAGAAGTTCCCATTGGCGAGCATGCTACAAGGGATCAGATTTGCTATGCAGCAGCCCTGAGGATGAGAGGAGAGATTGTTCTTGAAATGTTGGCAGAAGACACGGTTTATTCACCATTCAGCTACCTGATACAACTAGTAACCTGAGAGTCTTTCATCAATAACATTTGTATCCCTCAAGAGAGCCTGATGGAATGAAACACGTCAAGTAAATAAATCTCCAACACCCTTAGTTATATTTAGATGGTTTCAAGTAACACTGTATCTAACACAGTAATATGGCATTCAATATTAAATTTTATACATATTTAAGTGTAAGTTTCAGCCACAACATACGACTATGACATCTGAATTAATCTGGAATCTTATTCGCGCAAAAACTATTCACCTGGTCCGAGCATCATTCTCTTCCCCATTCAAGTCATTTGCTTCGAAGTCAAATACTCGTGAGAAACTGCCCTTGGAAGCTTTATGGACTAGCAATACCTGCAGATAAAAGCAAAATATTAACACCTGTAGAATGTCTTAGAAGTTAAAAACTGTCTGGCCATGAACGCGCTTGGGGGGAGAGGCAGGAGACACGATCAACGCCGCAGTATAATTGTGCGCGTTACGTTGAGATCTCGCTGTATTATGTACAAACTTTTTGTTCAATTAGCCACATTCAGGAAACAGATAAAATTTGGTTTAATCCATAAAGCAGGTGATACATTGGAATGACGTAAGCCAAAATTAAATTCACCTGACAACTTTCAATGCTGACAACAACACCAAATTTAACTGAAATCTGTCGAGTAGTTTGTGATTAAATATGCAGACAGATGCAACCAGCCCATTATGCTTTGATTTTATGCATTTTGTGCGTACCATGGTTACTTCAAATGCCTGAAACCCTTATTTTAGAAACACGCACCTGAACCCTTTGACACTGTATGAGTGACTGGGTGTGAGTGAGGATTCTGAACACCATATGTTCGATGGTGCTCTGTTCTTCAAAGATCATTCGTGCCAGATCAAGGAGAACCTGGTTCCTTCTCACTTCAAGCTGGCTCTTCTCATAGAGCTGAGCATTCCGCAGCCCAATACCACAGAACTGCAGGTAGCTGGAAAACACTTTCTCGTCGTTGCTCGTGAAACACATGTCCGTCTGCTTGTTGATCACCTGACACAGAAATAACTTAGTTTATGCACATCAGCCAAGTAAAAAGCACACACATAACAAATACCATAGTGAAACAATAAACACAATAATAATGCAGAACTAAACATCCCTACACTGAGTTAAAGTTTTAAAAACATGCATGTTTATTTCTTTCTTTAGTAACATTTTAATGAGAAAAGGGAGGAAGATTCTGATCTGTAACTTGGAAGGAATAAAGAAGGAAATGACCACAGGCTACTTTAAAGTGCTTGAAGGAAATGAGGAAAACCACTACAGTTCTCAGTCACCAGTTCAGAGTCTCTTGGCTGAGATGTGAAGCGAGGAAGTTCGCTGTGTTTTGTTAAAACATGACGAAGCAACAAATATAAATGGGACCTGTGAGTTAACAATTATCACGCATGAACAAGGAATTTAAACTCCTGTGCCGGCCAGACTTTTAACTCCAAGGGTTAACACTTGAACAGTACACTACTGCAACATGCAACCGGCTCAATCAAGGTTAAGAAATCATTCAATAATTCTGTAGCGCCATATTTGAACACTTAATCGCATTAGCAGTGTGTCACTAAGCACTCGATACTAGAACACAAATATATACTCCTAGTCACTTTATCAACTCCATTATCATGGCCCCCACCACAATGAGTGTTTATTTGAAGAACTATTAAAGTGATTTACACCTTTTTTTTTTAGATGTGACTAAAAAAACATGATGTTTACTTCCACGTAGAATATCATTTTTCCTTCCTTGTAATGATGTACGACTCAAAGAAACATCTTTCGACGCTATGATTTCTTTGTATCAGAAAAGAAACTAGTTTCATGATTAAGCATACCTGAGCTACTCCAATAACATCGCCATTGAAGTCCTTGATGGGCATACAAAGTAAGGTCCGTGTCTTGTACCCTGTTCGCGCATCAATGTCATGGTTGAATCGGTCATCCTGCAAACAGTATAAAGAAAGACGAGAGATATATGACGTGAAGCTTCTCGGGCTATCAGCCGTGTTAGATGGCGATTAATCGCCGACTGTTGACTATGTGGCTCGTAGCGCAAACTAACCTCTTTCCCAAAACAGCATTAACAATTTGATCTTTGTAATGATGTTTTGTGTTTTCTTTGAGGTAAATGGTGAGATAGGTTTCTAAGGGTTAATGAGAATTTTTATCTTCTCAGAAATGTCATCACAAACTTTCTTCTGAGTTTCATGTACTGTTATACTTTTTACATGCTACCAACAGACAGGGCGTGAATTTGAAATACAATGTTCCTTCGGCATCATGCTTGCCCTACGTCTTAACGGAACACAGGTTAGGTTTATAACGCTGCTTTTACTCTAATTCTTTAACGTTCTCCATCATGCACGTAGTCAACCTATGCCATTCACTCACTGCTATCAATATTAAAATGAACAACATCAGATGAGCATCATTAAATAATGCATGGTTAAAGTAGAAATGAAATTCTTGATAATGAAGGAAATATAAAACCATTTTAAAATTGTAATGTTATTTCAGAACCAACAACTCATTACTTGTAATTCAGTACTGAATAAAACACAAGCAAATAACAGTTCCAATTAAACGTCATTTACGGGGAAAACAGAATTTTCCTCCTAGTGATGTTCCCTTCAGAAGCTTTGTTTGTCATGTATGAAACAGGGCAACAACAGGGTTAAATATAAATTGCATCGCGTTATTCTGATGTGGGATGTTGGTAGGTTGGGTAATACGTAATTGGGTTATGGTAATTCCTTGAACACTTTATAAAAGCCGCAACAAGTTAATACACGCTGCTCCCTTACGACACGTCACTAAGTTATCCTCTTAGGTGATCCTGAACAGTCTGCAACCCAACACACTTCAACGTCGGATATATTGCCTAACAAGAAGGTATTACAGTAAAATAGGAAGGGAATCATAAGCCCAACAAGTGGCAAAGAAAGAAAGAAAAACAAATTGGCACAGTAAACTATTGCGTACTGTTCAACATTTTTCTTCGTCTATTAATTTAAAATTTAAGCTCTGTCCAAATGACCTAAATTAGGTTGTACGGTTTAACCTGATGACGAAAGTAGAGCCAACTTCCGAAATGTCCTTTTAAAAGAAATTAAATTAACAAGAGAAGGGAAATGTCCAAGAATAAGCGTATATTGGCGATTATGAGTGCTACAGAAGCGAGAAACATGGAACACGTCCTTGTATTTTGTTACGTTTAACGCGCCCTCAAAATCAAACAAAGAAATATCACAGCTTCCTGGTTGTATTTTTCGGAAATTTTAAAGTTCAGATTATAGCTGCACTGGCGTTTACTTTCTTTTCCTCGTGGTTTCATCTTTAAACGGGCTTAAAGATCGGAATTCGATTACCGTTAGGTGTAGGAATTTTTCTCTTTGCCACTGATTCCATACTGCCCCTAGGACGTACCCAGCAACCTGTCCAATGAGTATCGGGTGCTCCTTCCCAGGAGTCAAAGCGGCCGTGGCGTGAAACTGACCATTCACATTCATAGTGTCATGCAGCTAGTCTTTCACTCCATCCATGACGCGATACACAAAAAAAACTTTACCTTCCAATCCTGTATTTGAACTCAGCAGTTATTCAATCCCTCACTTGTTTCATGAATTCTTTCCGACCACATTGTGTTTTCATCTAGTCCTCCCTCGCTTCCAGACAGGGGCGTTTTATTCATTCAATGAAGCAATCAAAATCATCTACAGAGGATTTACAACAGTATATCAGCAGGATTAGGCCTGTAGCCTGCGTTGCGTGCGACCGGTATCTGATTACGTCAAATAATTACAACGATATCAATTATATTCTCGTAGTAACTCAGTTACTGTGTAATGGCGTATACAAACTTCCCAGTATCGCCCGCCATCATGTGAACTTGACGTAATACATAATGCGCTAAATAAAACATAATTTCCAATGACGTTATTAAAGTCCCTTGTGGATTAATGTAACATCATGTCCTAAAGGTTAATGCAATAATGCAGTATTTTCAATTTGCCGGTGCCAGAGTAAAAAGTTGGAAGTCCAACAAGTACGTATAAGCAAAATATGATTGCAAACATGGCGTAGCAGAACGTGTGTTCATTCTTGAGAATTATCAAGAATATTAAAAACCACTAATTCCCTGTTCTGTGTGTCGCTAAATCTACGAAATAAAGACGGCTTATTATACCTACCACGAACCTATTTATACATTGTAAAGTAGATGCAAAAGTGTTAATTTAAATTCTAAATGGGTCACGCTAGGTCTTCGGGGTTTCACATACGTTCTCGTTCTCATTCTTCCTTAAAAGGAGGGTGCTTAAAATAAATAATAATGATTTAATTCCATCCTGTGACGTCAAGAATCTAAATATGAAAAGTACGAAATTCAGGGTATAAAAGAATGAGATTAGCGGCGATATTCCGTGAGCTTTTACGCTACACCAATGTTTTATCAGTGTCATACTTGGAGTAATAAATACTCTATTTAAGTCGCCCTACAAATAAAAATAACTGTTGATAGATAATTTTAAATTCTGACTCGCAATGAACTCATAATTTCAGGCATAATAATAGCTTACATAGGATATTCAACTGTACTCTCTGTTCAGAATTATAAACTTTGATCATTCGTACGGAATTAATGGCCAGCACATCAAAACGGTTTCATCTTCAAAGAATTTACGCACAAATGTGCAAGCGAGCGCGAGAGAGACATTTTGATTAGGTACAAGTAGGAAGATGGCAAGAAGTGTATATTATTCGACTTAAAGCCAGCATTTTTCAGTGACTTGCACAATTTGGAACACTGCCGGCTTTCAGGAACAAAACACAAACTGATAGCAACGAAACCTAAAATAAAGGCCAGTATGACTTGCACAAGTTGGAACACTGCCGGCTTTTAGGAACAAACCACAAACTGACAGCAACGAAACCTAAAATAAAGGCCAGTTTATTAGCTGTTCATTTTCATCATCAAAACATGCTTACGTACATAAGGCAGACGATTACCACGATAAAATCTCAAAGTTTCCCTCCATCCTGATTTGAAACGCGCAGTTGAAACTGAGGGAAAGACTGGGCGTGTGTGAGCCCCTTAAAAAAGAGACGTAGAGGCGGCTCGAAAGCAAACACCCCTCCCCCAGGTAATTCTAGGGATGCTGTTCCCTGGCACTGACCTTGTATGCATCAGGTATGTTGACAGGCTCCCCGCTCTCTGCCACGTAGCCGACAATCCCCATACCCCAGGGAATTTTGATCTCTTCCTTCTTCTCCATCTCCTGCAGCGTCGAACGGGAACACACATCGAACAATTTGGAAACCAGGTACCTGGGCCTCGTCGAGTTCCCAGAGCATGGCGATGACAAAGAATTTCTTCTAGACCTTGGATTTCCCACCATAGTATTATTTAGTCTACAACCCGTAGAGTTTGATGACTTTTGGTTATTTGACCTTAGGTTGTTGCTGGTACCTCTAGAGTTGTCATCACACGAACCCTTGTCCCCCTGAACAAGGAACAAGGATCCTCTGTCAGCATTGAGAAGCATGCTAACATTCTGCAGGATCTTGTGACACAGCGACCGCACATCCAGTTCATTACAGATGTCCTTCACCTGCAAAGATAATTCGGTTCAGGATAATAGTAATTGCATTATAGTCAATGTAACACAGCGTCTGGTTGCTTACAATTCTCGACTTACGATGGATTAGGGAACAAAAAAGCTGTTCCACCTGGAAGAATTCCTGTACGACTAAAGTAAAAATCAACTATGGACATTTAAAAAAGTAACGTCTTAAAATTAAATTAAAACATGCGCGAAATTAATTAAAACCAAGTTAAAATGGCTGTGTCGAAACATCTTCCATAACCTACGCACAGAGTACAATATTTAGTACGAGTATTTTACCTGGACGTTCGTCGAATGATAGGAAGAATGTTGAATTGGGAAGGATACTGAAGGAAGCGGTCACGTCCTAGTTTATGGTACTAACCCGGCATGTTCCTGGAGGGACCGGGGAAAAGAACGAAACATCGCAGTATGCCATGTTCCTGGAGATGGCCACAAAACTAAGCCGAAGCCTACCAGTTCGAAGATGAGTTCCTTCTCGTCGAGATGTCGGAGTTCGTGTCGCGACCGCCTCTGCGGCCTTCCGGGTCCGGGGTAAAGGGGGGTACCGCCTGCTCCGACAGGACCACCCGTACTGGTGCAGGTCGCAGGACAATCTCCAGTCGGAGAGACAGACAGAAAGGTTGGTGTCCCGTCGATCGTGTTCACGATGGGCTTCAGCAGACCCCCTCGCTCGAATTCGTGCGCAGAGATCTTGCGGACGGGCGTCGTGGCTCCAGATCCAGCCCTTGACGATGGAGCTGTGCTGGCCGGAAGTGAAGAAGCCGAACTGTGTGCAGGGTTAGCTTGGTGACTGGGAGATGAAAGATCGGCAGCTGGAGGGACGATGCAGCTGCTGGTGTTGGCTGATGTTGGTGTTGCATGGGATACCAACCACGTGTCCACCACCTGCCGCGTCGCCTTCCTGCCAGGGAGAAGAGGCAACTTAACGAACGACAAGAGGAAACGACAGAGATTGTTAACACTCCTCACAACAAAAAGGCGAACAACGGTAACAGAGGTCATTCACTCAGACCGGGACTGTGGACTTTAATCATAGCTTACACCACGGGAACCCAACATGTGACGCGCTTACCGAGTGGTCAAGGGAAACCTCATATTGAACTCAAAGTTGTCACTGGTACTTAATCAAGCCCCTGGCCATGAAGACGTATACGGCAGTGGATATATGATACAGGGAGATGAGTCGAGCTAGACATGCAAGCATTTAACAGGACACCGTGAAAAATAAAAAAGACTATTTGCGCTACCTATGATAACATCAAGACGAATCTTAAACAGAGAATGAGCGTGCAGACTGCAGTCAACTTGGCTCCAGATACTGAGAAGACATTAATGACAATTTGAGTTTCACAAAATACGTAAGAAGCGACTGTCAGCTTCACGAAGAGTGCTCTTCTCCCCGGGGTTATCTCGTTATACTGAATTTAAATACTGATACGCTCTGCAACTTTTGCTTATATTTAATTTAAACACGCAGAAAATGCAAGCTCACGCATTAACACGCGTGTACGCGTGTACTGATACTGCAGTTCCACTGTTGCCTTAGCGTTTGTTTGTTTTTGTAAATATATTTCATATTTACTCAAACTTCAGTGATTCTTTACATTTGCGACAAGGGATCTACCAAAATCGGGTGTGACCTACGCTCAGTTTTTAGACATGTCTATAATTTCCGAACATTAAGAGATGCAGGCTGAGATCAGGAATTCATCCATCTTACAAATTCTGAATCGTAATAGAAGCCACGATCAAGGATAAATAAATGAAGGATGAGATAACGTTACAATGAAATGTGGTACTCGTAAATATATACTCCATGATTCCATACTGAAATATCATAGCTACTGGTTGAAAAAATATAAAATTCCCGCTTACAGACGTCCATAAACAGGTGTCAATTATCAGCCATGTATCAGAAAGGAGAACTGCATATGGCACGGTGTTTGTAGAAGCAGATAAAGAAAAACATTGAAGAGACAAAGAGGATGAGAATGCAATTCAAAGTCTTAAAATCTTGGGTGCAGTGAATAATTTCCACAGCTGTCGCACCTCAGAAAGTAGTCCTGGACGAAGTCAGGGTGTTCGTCCAGCCAGGCCTCCATTCGAGCGTACTCCGGGTCGTAGTACTGGTATTTGCTTCCCGCCTCACCACCTGGCGGAGCCACTGTACTACTGGGCGCCGTCTCCGCCGTCATCCTCGGCTCGTCGAAAGTGCGCAGGTGCAGGCCTGGAACAATATAACATTGCCGGTCTACTTACAAAAATCTGAATAATGTTTACAGACAAGTACCAACATCCAAGGCCGCAAACGAGCAGCCAGTAATGATTAAGGCGCATTCGGATTCAGGAGCGTCTCTGTAATCATCCTACAATTCCGCACACCACGTGGCTACATTTGATAGTTATGAGCATTAGCATGGAACGCTGATGATGGATGATTTGTTTAGGATCGAAACGCGACTGTCGAGTATAAACGTTAGGTATTGCTGACAGCGTGTGATAAGATCTAGCTGGTTAACTTTTGTTTCTGGAATCAGACAACCGCTATTCCTTCTACGAGGTCGGCAATGTCACTTCCAACAACCTGTCGGTCAGCAACTGATTTCGATAGGCAGTGACAGCGAGTATCGAAAACTGTTTTCGGCACAACGTACTAGAGGCCATATTCTGCATCCAGGGGACTCAGAGGACCCTGTGTACTTCCTGAAACGCCGGAGATATATTGATTGGAGTCTTCTGGCTTATTATTCTTTAATCTCGTAATTTCATACAAATGTTCCGGATAAAGGTACATCATCATCCGTCATCACAATAAGCTATACGTCCATCTGAAACGATGGTAATCACGACTACATAGCATCATAACACAGAAGACCGGTATCGACATATTCATTTCTGCAAGAACCTCACATCTCTGACCAGAGATGTATGCAACTCGTGTGTTCGGTAAGCTGAAGCACGTAACAATCCACAAATAAGACGAAGACGCTGACAACGACATGAAAAATACAACAACCAAGTAAATATGATTAATTTACTATTATTATTTCCTGAGTATATGAGACTTGGAAGTTCTCAAGATTTCGATGTTGATCGTCTGGGTAGCAACGCCTTGTGGACTTGCATGTAGATACTAACATTTCGGAGAAACAGCCCTGAAGATGAAGGAAATATAAAGATTTCTGTCTTCTGGGTTGTTGCGCTGTGTAGTCTGGTAGATGTTTACCAACTAAATATGTTCTTCCGAAACGCTGGTGTCTACCTAAACGTCCACACGGCGTTAAAACACAGACGACCAAATTGATTTGTTCTCTATGATATTAGAACCCGAAGGTCCTACCCACTAACACCAAAGCGAGGCAAAGAAAGGTTTGAGCCATTTTTATCCAGTTTACTTTATTTATAAGATTTACTTTAATTAATATAATCTGTCTCGATCTTACAAGTAGCACATTTTGAGAAAGTGACAAATGAGTGTCTCACGGCGACGAGTACGATGACAGCCATCTTCATTTCTAGAAAGTTCACCACAGAAATATTGTACACGTTTCTCGCCTTTCCTATCTGAGTCAAATGCTTTATCCCCTTAACAACAGCCTATTACGTGGGGTGGGTAACACACCAAGTCACCCGCGGTATAAAGCCCTCAAATTTTCACTCATGAGGTGTATTCTAGAAGCAACGTTCGTTTTATTACAACCCAGTCTTCACCTTTCTGTACACGTTCTTTCGATCGCTCTACATTACCTTCGAATCGTATCTGAAACCTTATCGGTGGTAAGTTTTCCGCATTGGTAAACAGATCCCCCAATGACGTTCTTGACTGTGTAACGCGAGGTGGTTGGAAGTGAATCCTTCGGTACATTCAGAATTCTGACGGGGCTAAGATGGATGATGTGGAGGCATCTCAGCTTCTATTTAAGTACTTCGTCATTCAAGAGTAAAAGTTTATAGCAAAAAAGACTTGAGAACAACCGGTTTGCACGATCCTCGCACTGTGACTGACGGTCGAGGCGACTTGAAACTTGTACAGGGAACAATAAATACACTGAGATCATGAGATGCGAGGTTTTTACGGCGGTGAATATGTCGATGTTGGTGATGATATTATTTTGGAATTTTGGCGCCGTATAGACTCGTACATAGATGTCAAAGTTTTTAGAGAAAAGCATCCATCTTCAGGGCAGAAGTAGTGATGCTGGGAAGTGAATCGATTTGTGCAAGGTTAGAGGAACACAAGGCTCACGGAGTGGGCCAATCAGAGTCTATACGACGCTAAAAACCCAGATCATCAACTCCTATACCAAAGCCCGCCACTGAACATAATCCATCCAAAATACCAACAAAACAGCATCAACACTGCCAACACTGAATTAAATAATAAAATATAATAAAAACTGCAGATACGTTTCGTGAATAGTCTTTCGATGTTAACGAAAGTCCCTTATACACAGGAGAGTATACGCAATATGTTTGGGAAATTAAGTTCTCTGTAGAAACGGTGCTCTTAAGGTGTATCTCCCTGAGATTTTCATTTTAGAAACTGTGAATAAAATGGTTTATACCTAGAATGCACTATATTAACAATGTGAGAAGTGAATAAGGAGCGGAGGTAAAGCTATTTCTGGATAATTCTGTGAACTCACAAACTTAACCCCTGGCTCAGAAATCACGTTCTCTTGTTCTTATTTCAAAGCACTGCTCACACAGAAGCTGTTTCAAGAGTAATATAATGTAACAAGCTCTGTCATCTTTCGCGAAGTTCTGAAAAACTGAAATATGAAGGAAAGGGGTTGCATCTCAAGCTTTATTGAGCCTTGTATAGTGAGGAACATTTAATTTTAAACTGTAAACTCTAAAACAAGTTCATAGTATGGTGCGTGCGTGCGATGAGTAAATCATCGCCCTGATAATATAGGCACTAAAAACAAACTACAAGTCGTAACAACCCAGAAGACAACCATCTTCATACCTGCCGCCATGACAACCTCACATCCCACCAAGAAATATAAATAATACGACTATCAGAAAAATTTCGAAACTCTGAAGCTCTGAGACTCAAAATCGTATTGCTATTATTCATGTTCAACCTGCTTCCGTAAACAAACACAAGGAATACGTCACGTCTTCAAGAACAGATTCATAGATAATCGATCAGATGTGAAAATGAGTAAGCAAACAGAATACAGAAAGAGGAATTTCTACTATGAAAATGTATCCACAAAAGGATTACCATGTTTATGTCATTTGAAGCATCCTTCCAACACATTCTCAGCTGTGATGTCATGGACACGCTGATTATCTAAGGCTAGACTGTATAAATAAAATCAAAGATACTGACTCTTCCCCACTTCGTTACGTAATTACCCCAAACTCCTCTAGAGCCTGTGCCAAATCAATTATTCTTTCTGTGACTATCGTTCTGCGCCCATAATACACAAAGACTCAGTGTCACAATGTAACACGAATATTCAGTTGTTTTAAAATAATAAACCAGGGATAAGTGACATTTCATGCAGCATACGAGCAAGAAATTCTTGGGGCCAGACACTACCGGAAAAGAACATAATTTAACTACCATGACGATCAAAGGTACACTAAAAGGTATTTAATGACGATTAGTCACACAAATAGAAGTTCTGCGGAAATTTCAGAGACATATGCAGACTCGTCACCCTGTAGCCTGATAATGTTACCATGTTTGCATAAAAGCAAGCCCACAAGGCCTCAGTGAAACCTTCACTGTGATTCCGCATCTCACGCGATGCCTTAACTGATTCTTAAAACCATGGACCATTCATTCTTAATAAAAGGTTATGTTAGGGTAGTAAGCAGAATACGAAAGAATGCACAACTATTTAAAAATGATAGGCACGTTTTGACAAAATTATTTTTGTTTTAACTTGTGAATACTTCTATAAATTGTAATTTCTATTGCACATAATTTCCTCTTTGACTCCAAGTTTAGAACAGTTCTGCAGCTCACCCAGCCTCCAATCAAATGGGAGGTTGCTTGGGGAATTTTTCCAGGGGTAAAGATGGCGGAGCGCGAAAATGACAACTCATTTCCATCTAGTACCGAGGTTAAGGTTACGCGAATCTATGCCTCATTTCCTCATACTTCATCGTCGTGTCGTGGTTAAGAGCATAATGGCAACTTTACCTTTGAAGTTGTTTCCTTTGGAAATACCGACTGACCTCTGGCTCAGGAAAGCAAGAACAAATAATATTATGTTCAGCAAGTTGGCCACACTTGCTTTACACTAAGGGCTGCAACTAACTATATCTAACTCCTCCATTTACACAAGTTTCTACATGAACTTCACATTTCTAATGGAATGTTACAGAACGTGACATGTAATTACTTCCATCAACTGTCGACTTCGCCTGGATTAATGCCAGTTCTCTCTCGGTATAATGAAACTGAGCAAAAGGTGTTACATTCCCCTTCTTTGTTGTTCTGTTGGAACAGTTTAATGTGATTCTCCTTTCCGAGAAAGCCATAAAACTTTCTGTGCTTGTTTCTCAACACACAAACTCATGGCGCATCGGCTTTAATCATTCTTTACCTGGACCCATACTCAGTAATTATTCAGTTGAATGGCATCTACTCTAAACAAACCAAGGAAACGTGATAACAAAAGCTGACAAAAACAAGACTTCGTGGAAACAGCGTTTTATTATTAAGTTAATATTACTGCAGGAGAAGTAAGGAATGAAGAGGTAGGGGTCGTACCAACAGAACCCAACCTTCTTTCCTATCTGAAATGTTTTGTTGGGTAACTTCGTGGCCGGGGCGCTCTTCTGGATAGTTCCAAAAAAAAATCTGTTAACATTTCTATTATCACAACAGTTTTATAATGCTCAGGCCCTATTTTATACGCTTTACTTCTTAGGGACATGCGAACCTAGTAATCTAAGTGATCTAACTCAGTGGTATTCAACCTTTTTTGTTCTCGTACCCCCCAGATATAATTTATCTTCAACTTTGTACCCCCAAAGTTGTTGGTGCATAATTCAAGTTATACATAGTATATAATCTACATCTAAAATAAATTAAATAAATTATATTACTGATTATTCAGTGTTTATCATAAAATAATATTTTTTTTAAAATTTCACGTACCCCCTAAGATGTCTTCGCGTACCCCCGGGGGTACGAGTACCCCAGGTTGAATACCACTGATCTAACTCATCCCTACAAGCTTCAATGCGATCTGCCGGAGT